GCGGAGAAAGAGGATCTCTTTTGCATTGTTGGTGAGAATGCAAGTTGATGCAGCCACTCTGGAAAAGAGTATGGAGGCTCCTCAAAAAACTAAAAACAGAACTACCCTATGACCCAGCAATTGCACTACTAGGCATTTATCCAAGGGATACATATGCACTGTTTCGAAGGGACACATGCACCCCATGTTTATAGCAGCACTATCAACAATAGCCAAAGTATGGAAAGAGCCCAAATGTCCATCGATGGATGAATGGATAAAGAAGATGTGGTATATATATACAACGGAGTATTACTTGGCAAATCAAAAAGAACGAAATCTTGCCATTTGAAACTACGTGGATGAACTGGAGGGTATTATGCTAAATGAAATTAGTCAGAGAAAGACAAAAATCATACGACTTCACTCATATGAGGACTTTAAGAGACAAAACAGATGAACATAAGGGAAGGGAAACAAAAATAATATAAAAACAGGGAGGGGGACAAAACAGAAGAGACTCATAAATATGGAGAACAAACTGAGGGTTACTGGAGGGGTTGTGGGAAGGGGCATGGGCTAAATGGGTAAGGGGCACTAAGGAATCTACTCCTGAAATCATTGTTGCACTATATGCTAATTTGGATGTAAATTAAAAAAAAAAAAAAGACTTAAAAAAAAAAGGATGCTGCCTGTTACATCCACTGTTCAAAATACTCACTAGACATGTATTAAGACAATAATAGAAAAATAAATATTTGAAGGAAAGAGACAACATTCTCATTATTTTCAGATGATATGATAATTACATAAAGCACCTAAAAGAATCAACAGGCAAACTATTCAAATTAGTAAGAGTTCAGCAAGTGACCAGTTACAAGAACACACCAAAATTAATAGTATTATTCTATACCAGCAAGAAGTAATCAGAGTGTCACAGAAATAACACATCATTTAGAAAGAAACTAAAACCATAAAGCCTTTTGGGTTCACTTTATGAAGAATGTTCCAGACTTTAGATGACAATTTTAGGAGTGCCTGGGTAGCTCAGTTGGTTGAGCATCTGACTTCAGCTCAAGTCATGATCTTGCAGTTTATGAGTTCAAGCCTCACATCAGGCTCACTCCTTTCAGCACGGAGCCTGCTTCGGATCCTCTGTCCCCCTCTCTCTCTCTGCCCCTCCCCCACTTGTGCTCTCTCGCCTCTCTCTCTCTTTCTCTCTCTCTCAGAAATAAAGTAAACATAAAAAAGATGACAATTTAAAAATTCTATGAAAATTAAAGGAAGCCCTGAATGGACATATAAACTATGCTCAATGTCTTAAAACTACATGTTCAAAGCAATTCTCATCTAACATCTTGTAGGCTATTGGAAGAAAATTGACAAATTGATTATAAAAGTATTTGTGAGAATAAATATATCGCTAACCAAAAAAATTAAATGAAAGTGACACAAAGAAAAAAATGTGAAATCTACAAAAGTTAGATTACACAGATGACAGAAATCTAAACAAAAAGAGAACTTCTACCTAAAGTTGTAATCTAACTTTTCTCACTTCAGTTGAATATATCCATATCCAACCAACCCCTCAACTTGAATATATGCAAAATTCTTTCACTCAAGTCCCAGAGACTTGTTCCATACTTCCTCCTTCTATTAACTATACCAGAAAGGTTCAAGTCTCAGAGGCCCAAAACCCAAGTACAGTGTGACTCTCTTCTCCCTTGACTCCCACATGTTCAACTAGCTGTCAAATCTTGACTATTCCACCTCTGTAATCTTTAATTGCTCCCTATCCTCTTCTATTTCTATTATGTCATTCCCCAACTAGCTTTTCTGTTCCCAGGCCCCCCATTCCTCACACTCTCAAATCTGTCTAATATTAGAATGAAATTTCATCCTGAAATAAAATTTGTATCATGCACATTTTTGTCCCAAATCTTTCAATGGTCCAAATTTCTTCATGTGAAATTCAAGATTCACTACAACTTCCCCTTAATGTATTTCTAACACTAAGTAGCACTGCTCCTTTCAGGCCTCCTAACTGATGCATTCCTTCCCTGTTCTAAGCATGTGCCTGGTGCTCTACTATAGGCATCACTGTACACCCAACCCCCAACCAACTTTCAATGCCCAGTTCGAGAGCTTCTGCTTCCAGATAATGTCCAACTTAGGGGAGAAAAATAACTTCCAATAAAAACAAATGATAAAATAAACCATAAGGTAATAAGCATACAAAGAGCCACAGCCTATGGCCTTTAAATGTGAAGAAAGAAAAATTAATGAAGTAGCATATTTTTAAAAAATTAATCTCCTGCATGCTTGAAGATGCTCAGACAGTAGTTCCCCCTTATCCCAGTTTTGTTTTCTGTGGCTTCAGTTACTGGTGGTCAACTGTGGTTCAGAAACAGATGATCCATCTTCTGATATATAGTTAGAAGGTCAATAGTAACTTAACACTACATCACAATGCCTACACATCATTCACCTAACTTCGTCTCATCCTGTTGGTATTTTGTCATCTCACATCATCACAAGAAGGGTGAATACAGTTATTTTAAGAGAGAGACAGCATTCACATAACTTTCATTATAGTATACTCTTATAATTGTTTCATTATTAGTTGTTAATCTCTTACTATGCCTGATTTATAAATTAAACTTTATCATAGATATTTATGTACAGAGAAAAAATACATAATATATATAGGGTTCAGCACTATCCCCAGTTTCAGGCATACACTAGGAGCCTTAGAACATATTCCCCATGGATAAGGAACAACTACTGTATAGCAGAAGAAAACACTTTTAAGTTGAAATTTAAAAATAAAACACCTATGAAAGAAAATCTAATGGATGAACAGTTTTAATTTATTCAATGTCCATAAATTCTGAATGTTTCAAAGACAAATGTATAGAGTTTATCTTGAATCATTTGAAAAAAACCAAACAATCCAAACTATTTAATGCAATGGTCAATTACTTAAGAGAGAAAGAACAATCAACTGCTTAATTCTGATATACTACAGGCTTCAAAGGCCATATATATGATAAATGTCTTAATTCCCATGGAATTAATATCAAATTCCCTGGAAACAGATGGGAGATAATGTCAGGATTATAATCCTATAAACATAGTGGTTCCCCATTCTGTCACTTTCTTGCCTACTCACATCAACCCACAGTTTTATGAAATAGGCTAAACCACTAATATATCCAAATTTTTAACTTAACTGGCTACAAACTGAGCATTTTCCTGTCCTAAAGTTATATAAATGCCATCATGTCTTCAGACAACCAGCTTTCTGATCAACATAACTTTTAAAAGGATAGAAAGGCAGATGATGATCAGTGATTAATTTATCAATATGATAAAAATAATGCTAAATATATCAATATGAATACTATGATCCTATTCAAGTATTGGGCATTTATTATCACTGATCTCATCTAAAAGTGCTCTAATATCAAATATTAGTAATATCATAAAAATGAGTGGATACAAAAAAAATAACATTAATAGTAAATGTTCTAAATATTTATTCCTTTTGAGTTAGACTAACATACACTTGCATGACAGTCCTGCATATAAATAACTATCCCAAATTATACCTGGCAGCTAGGTAAATCTTCCCCAAAAAGGTGGTGCTGAAGAAGGCTGGTGATTCTGAGGAAAGGTAAGCAGAAGTCCTGTAAGTATTTTTCCATGGATTCAGGAGACCAAGCAATAGGGCTAACCTAAAGTCAAAAAAGAGAATTTAAACAATTCATTCTCTAATAGATATAGCTTAAAAATTATATTCATAATGGCAACAAAATCTAAATTTTTAACAAATAATCTCTACACCTAGAGCATACCATTGCACATTCCTGAGTTCCTTCTTCATGGTATAACTTTCCTTTAGACAGTTCACTTATCACAAAGCTCAGTAACACTTCATAAGACTTTTCTGCATCACATGCATTCTGGAAGAAATGAAAAATTAGTTCCATCAGTCACTGAAAATTTCAAAAAAAATTACATTGGAAAGAACACTTCTTAATAAGTAGGGGCATAATTATGACTACATTATTTTTCACACATGTAAACTTCAAGTCCTCCAAATCTATGTACAACAGCACACCTCTGGATTCGCAAGGAAACTGGGTATGGGATTAAAACTATTGCAATACTTCTTTAAAAGGCAGACGTAAATTATATAATGAATGAGTAAACAAACATATGTAAATCATATATTTTGACTCAGTAATTTCCACTCCTGGAAATTCTTCCTAGGGAAATAATCTATAATAAAAAAAATAACTAAACCCCCAAGACACTCACTGTAATACTACAATACTGAAAAACTAGAAATGACCAACAAAAGTAAAGCAGTTACCTAAATTATTCCATATCAACTCAATAGAACATTTTATAAGCAGTGAATATGACATGACAAATTTGAGCTGAATGAAAAAATGTTTATAATACTGTGAAAAAGGCCAAAAGCAGCATATATACATACACTCATTATAATGTAAAATCATACATGCATGAAATAACATGGACCACAAACTTTTTCTTTTACAATTTCTGTCAAATTCCTTGAATGGGATTTCTTTAAAAAAATTAATGTAAAAATAAAATAGGACAATGTTGTTGTTGTTTTTTAAGTTTATTTATTTATTTTGAGAGAGAGTGCGAGCAGGGCAGGGGCAGAGGGAAAGGGAGAGAGAGAATCCCAAGCAGCCTCCACTGAGTGCAGAGACCCGTGGGGCTCAATCCCACAACCGTGACATCATGATCTGAGCTGAAATCAAGAGTCAGACACTCAACCACCCAGGCTGAGCCATCCAGGCACCACATTACAATATGTTTAATAAAGAAAATCCAGATACATTAAATAACAGCTTATAAATTAATTAAGCTTAATGATGCTATATTTTTATAAGAAAGAAAAAATAATGGCTATTTATAAATTCAAATTTATGTCAATAAGTTTTTATACAAATGTTTCTCTTTATATTCACTGAGATACTGGAGGTTGTTTCAAGATACAATAAAGTATAGGGGCGCTTGGGTGGCTCAGTCGGTTTGGCGGCTGACTTCGGCTCAGGTCATGATCTTGCGGTCCATGAGTTCGAGCCCTGCGTCAGGCTCTGTGCTGACAGCTCGGAGCCTGGAGCCTGTTTCAGATTCTGTGTCTCCCTCTCTCTCTGACCCTCCCCTGTTCATGCTCTGTCTCTCTCTGTCTCAAAAATAAATAAAAACGTTAAAAAATTTTTTTCTTAAAAAAAGATACAATAAAGTATAAAATGGGCTACAGTAATAAGTTTGCTATGATGTCATTTATTCTACTCATTAACTATACTTTTTACATAGTAAAATATAAGATTTGAGTACACACTATGGGATATATAAGTTTATCCTGACCATCTGATAATCACTAACAGTCCGATCTTTAGAATTTGTTATTTGACGATCCTTAGTCTTCCCCTGTGTTATCATGCTCTCCTCACCTAGACAGTAAATTCCAAAATGTCAGGAACTATGCTTTGTACTTTATATATATCCATTTGCAGAACAAAAATTTGAGCAATAAACACCTGCTGCCTACTTAATAGAATTTCTTTTGGTACTGTTGGAATTTTTGACCTTGGAACTTGCCTAGATGTATCTCTTTTGGTAATAAGTTCTTTGCATTATCTTTAAATTACTCCTCTGCTTCTTTTTCATATCATTCAGCCATGTAGTGTTAATAGAATCTCTTTTGGTACTGTTGGAATTTTTGACCTTGGAACTTGTCTAGATGTATCTCTTTTTATAATCAGTTCTTTGCATTATCTTTAAATTACTCTTCTGCTTCTTTTTCATATCATTCAGCCATGTAGTGTTATCATGTCCTGATTCTAAACTACAAAAACAGTTCTGATTCTACAACCGCACTCTTTAAATCATGTGACCCACCCCCAATGGGGGTTTAAATGGGTGATGGGTATTAAGGAGGGCACTTGTGATGAGCACTGGGTATTATATGTAAGTGATGAATCACTAAATCCTGAAGCCAATATTATCCTACATGTTAATTAACTAGAATTTAAATAAAAACTTGAAAAAAAACACAAAAATTAATCAGAGTAGTTTTTAAACAGAGTTCACTTAAACTCAAAATGTAGAAGACTCAAAAGAAAATATTACCATGATTTTGCACATATTAAAGTTTCTGGAAATATACAATTCAGCCTAAAATCTTCCTAAATTCAATATATTCTTCAGTAAAAGATACACAGAATACATAGCAACAGAAGAGTATTTCAAGTCAAAATACTTTCTAACTTACGGAAAAAAATACCCTCCAATAATAAGAAATGATGTTCAGATCATCCAGGTGAGTTATTGAGTGATAATCAGCTTTTAAGTCATTATTATCAAATATATTTTAAGAACTTTTTTTTATACATGGCAAGTACTATATCAGATCAGAAAGTTAAATATAATGTACTATTCACTCTTTTGTATTGAGAATTCTTCTGATCAGATTATTAGACAAGAAAATAGTTTTATTTCATACATGTCTTAAGAAAGCATATTTTTATATACGTAATATATGAATTTACAAATAGGCTTGTAAAGCTTAAGAGGACTTAGGAGACCATGGATGAAAGACCTAGAATCAGATCAAAAGAATCCAATGGGAAAGGTGGCAAAGGTATGCAGTTAATTAAAGAGAAAGATCAAGAGTTGAGAGTTGAGAGATCCAACAGTTATGTGTTGGGCAGATGCTTTGTTTAAATTACAGTAGTTCTTCAAATTTGGGGGATGACAGACACTATGGATATATGTTGGATGCTATCGTCCTACTATCCCCAGCAAAACACCACAACACAACACAACACAACACAACCTCAGATTATGAAATCCTGTTGTAAAGAGTCTTTTAAGAGAAATTTTAGTAACCAAAAGAACACAATTTATACTAACTATAATAATGATTATTCCAGCACAACTAAACCTTATTATCAAATTAACTCTAATATCCCTTTAAAAATACATACATAGTACCTATATTTTTATTGCCCTAGGCCAGATTACAGCCAGCAAAAATCTGTTTTCATTGGAATTATCAATACCTGAGGATAAGAAAATAGAGGGATAGAATGAATACATGAGACTCAACGAAGAAAGGAAATAAGTAAAGAAGTGGGGGTGAGAGAAGGAAGAAGGAAATAAAGAATGAATGATGCAGAATAGTTAAAAATCACAATGATGTATTTCATTCCTTGTAATATTGTTGCTATTATTTACCATCTGCTGTGTACCTAAATATTTAGATCTATTACAGAAAAAGCTAGTGACATGTGGCAAACTAACCAAGAGAACATCATACTGTTTTTATTCGCTAAAAGCAATTTATATGGCTATAAACTTCTAAATTTATGTTCTGATAAGAATATGCCTTACATTAAATGTTTCATTAACTGTTTTTTTGCATAGCTAACAATTATTAAATTGAGAAAGAAAACTGATAGAACAGTTACCTAAGTTAGTTCTATCATAGATTTACAATTGCCTGATTTTCTGTCATTAGGTCTCATTTTAGTAAACAATCAGATGAATAGATTTAGACCCAAATTATATCAGAAAATGTTTTAAATGTGTACTGTTTCATGATTAGACAGCTTACTAAAGAAAACATATGTAAACAATGAAACAGCATAGAAACCTAATATACCTTATTTGAATACTAACAATCCAAATATCAGGTTACAGTGCAGAGAAATTGTAAGAATATTTAAAAAAAAAAAAAAAGAAAGAAAATTGCAGAAGGCAAAATTATCCAAGAACAAACCAGGAACAAGGAGGAAAAATCACTAAGGGAAAAGATATATCCATTTTGAGAATTTAGAATAAGAGAATTTTAGAAATAAAGGAGCTCTTATAAATTATATGTTCCAAATCTCTCAATTACCTTTGAGAAAACTAAAGTTCAGGAAGTTTATGTCTTGACCAAAAAAATAATAGCTCTATTTAGTGGCAGAAGCTCAGCCTAGTATTCAGGTTCAGTGTCCAACCAATATCCCTAATTAAGACATTATGAGCTTGGTGGTGATACTATATTAATTTATTTTTTTTTTTTTACACCAAATCATTGTTTGGGAGTAAACTAGTGATAAAAGTAAAGATTACATTGAATACATTTCCTGTATTTATCATGGATTTTCTTTCCTTTGACATAAGTAGATGTGATTTTTTTTTAATGTTTATTTTGAGAGAGGGAGAAAGAGCACAAGTGGGGGAGAGGCAGAGAGAGAGAGAGAGAGAGAGAGAGAGAGAGAGAGAGAGAGAGAATCCCAAGCAGGCTCCAGGCTGTCAGTGCAGAGCCCAATGTGGGGCTGGAACTCACGAACTGTGAGATCATGATCTGAGCCAAAATTGACAGCTGGACACTTAACCTATTGAGCCACCCAGGCGCCCCATGATTTAAATAGATAATTGGAACCTTTCAAAGAGGTTTGAACCTCTTGAAGAGTCTATAAACCAATCAAGAGGTTCAGTTAACACTACACTTACTATTTTTTCCTACCAACTTCCCCAAATACACCCTGAAGTAGTCTTCTTATTTTACCTACCTCTAAGTCAAATCACTCACAGTCAGTTCTTCAGTTCTATAGTATCACATTTGTTCTCGAGTCACTGAAAACACTTACATTTAACTAAACTTGGACAATTTTTCAAAATTGTTTATGTAATTTTAACTTGAGAACTTTAAATTTGTAAGAACTTACACATTTTTTTAAGATAGAAAAATTAGTATTTAAAGAAGCATAATTAAGAAAAGGTTAAGATTTTTAAATTTATAGGTGACACATCAAAAGCCATCTTTGGACTGACTGCAAATAGGAGCAAGGAGAAGAAAAGATGACAAATAAGTAAAATAGGTAAGTCTGCAGACATTTTATTACTTACTCACTGCATTGGTACAATTTTCATAACTTCTCTAAGTTTAAGGCTTACAAGCAAAAGCAAAACAAAACTGCCCAAATAAGAAGAGGCAAAGGCCAAGGTTTAGAGATAGATGAAGAAGACTTCACCATCCAAAGAAACATTTTTAACTTTGTTTAACCTGAAGGTGCTCCATTTCCAGTGGAAATACTATTAATAACTCATTTTGCCTTTCAAACATCTAATCTCATTCATTCATATCTCCAACTTAAATGAGTTCACCAAGCTATAAATGACAAATTCAGACAAGACACTAACCTTTTTGAGAGCTCCCATGTGTTTCCAGGCTAACCTATCTTCCTCATTGCATTTAACTGAAAGTGCCACAAGAGCTTGTGTGTATAGTAGGGTGAAAAGCACCTTCACAATGCAGGTGAAGTGGTCTAGAAGAGAAAGAGAGGATCATTATTTCTTTGGAATCTAGACATTTTGTACTCAAGATCATTTCACAAATACATCTTTCCTTGAACATGTAATTGGTTTTTGTTCAACACTTCACCTAATAAAATGAAATTATAAGGTGATATTTGCTACCCACCTGATCTGAAATTATGAAAACAAAATTCCTTTATTCATCCACAGAATATGTAAATGAGAGGTTTTAGCGCAGCGTAAAGTGTGCTCTGTTTTAGATGAACAGAGTGCTAATGCCACTCAAGCTGTGTAATGTTGGCAAATCCCCTTCCTGATCATTATGTACTTAACAATGATGTCTCAGAACGGTGTTAAACCAACACTTCATCCACTTCTAATATTATATAAACCTTATAAGGAATATCATATCGTATCATATTATATATAATACAAAACTTCTAAAGTTAAAAAAAAAAAAGAAAAGAAATCCCAGTATTTTAGCCACTCTAATTGAGTTTTAAAACTCAATTTAAAACTATAACAATGCAAAAACAATATTAACAATACATAAAATGCCTGGTAGCTTCTGGCACATATTAGGTACTTAATAAATAGTAGCTTAAAAATCACAAGTAATATTTACATACAGCTAATAACTTAGAAAATTTCCTCGAATGTCTCATTCAATCCTCATAAGTCTCAGTTGGACATCTGAGTTTCAAAATGATGTGCCGCTGATAACAAAGCTAATAAACATCCAGGTCTGAACTCGAATCCATATAGATGATTTTACTGCAGATTCAGTATTCCTTCTATTATATTATGCGGTTCCCCTAATAAATGGATACTACCATTTAGTCAGTTGCTGGGGTCAGAAACTTGTAGATATCCTTGATACTTTCCTATTTCATTCTCCCCACATGAAAAAAAATCACCAAGTCCTGTCAATTCTACTTTAAAAATATCTTGAGTCAATTCTAAAATCCTAGACCAGGCTTCCATCCTTTCTTGCCTATGCCCAAAATTCCAGCCCTAAGTAGTTGTGTTCAGGGTGCCCCAAGACCACTTCCAGGCTTGATGATTCACCAGGAGGGCTCACAAGACTCAACATACAGTCCTATGATTCATTATAGCAAGAGCTATAAAGTAAAATCAGCAAAGACAAAAGGCACATTGGGTGTAGTCCAGATGAAATCCAGAGTTCTTTACCAGTATTCTAGCACAGGGCATGCTTAACTCCTCCAGCAATAAGTTATGACAGATTGTGAGATATAGACACCAGGAGAGCCTGTTAAGAAATTGAGTGCCCAAGGTTTTCACTGGGGGAAGTTCACACAGGCACCCTTTGCCTAGCACAAACCAGGTTTTTAGACTCCCAGGAGGAAAGCAGGTGTGTTCAGCATAAACCACTGTTTGTACAGTTTAGGCATAGTGACCCACTCCCATCAGTTCTGTGGACGGTGGGGTGGTAGAGACCCTTCCAAAATCAAAGTTCCCAGATACCAGTTAAGTGCCAACCTTGTAAGCAGGCCTTTCAAAAGTTAACAGGTCTTCTATGTTAAGTCTTTCTTGCACAGTGGTTTATGTGCATCACCTCTTAGTCCCCTGCAATCTTTTTTATTTTTTTTTTTTACAGCCAGACTGATCTTTTTAATTTTTTTTTAAAATTTATGTATTTATTTTGAGAGAGAGAGACAGAGAGACCGAGCAGGGGAGGGTCAGAGAGAGAGGGAGAGGGCAGGCTCTGCTCTGTCAGCACAGAGCCTGACACTGGGTCTGATCCTACAAACCAGAAGATCATGATCTGAGTTGAAAACAAGAGTTGGACACTCAACTGACTGAGCCACCCAGGCACCCAAACTGATCTTTTTAAAAGAAATATCTAGCATCCTTCTACTGAGTCTCTGTACAAGCTGAAACACTCTTTCCTTCCTCAAAGCCTGGTTAACTCTTAGGTGACACCTTAAAGTCACTTCCTAAGGAAAATCTTTCCTGATTTTAAAATGAGTATGTGTGAGTGCATACACGTGCAAGCCTTGTCTCTTACTCATGTTGATGACTTGGGTTGGGAACTTACAGCTGAGCCAGCTGTGGGATTTTTGTAACTGGAGGTAAATGGAAGGTATAAAAATGTGAGTCTAGAAGTGTCACAGGTCATGTTCCTAGTCTATGGCAGACTGTCTAAAGTAACACTGAATAAAGCAGATCCATTAAGACAAGAAACCTAAGATGCCAGCATCCAAAGTTCTGGTTCTGGTCATTCCCAAGACTACCCTTAACTCCTACAGTTTGGTTATGTGAGTACATTAGTGCTCTTCCTTTGTGCTTATAAACTAGCTCTAAATGGATTTCTAAATGTCCTAACACCTAGGTGTTGAACATATGCCAGGATAAAGACAATAAGAACTTACAATCTAGATAGAGAGGAAGAGAGAAACAGAGGGCTACATGCATACACATGGTATACTGGGAGAAAATAAGAGGAGGAACTAACCTAATTCAAGGGCAAGGCATAGAAAAAAAAATAATAAAGATTTTTATTTCAGTGAGGAAAGTTAAGTCTTGAATGATGAAGAGAAATAAGCCATAATAAAGAAGGCAAGGGGGAAGGGAAAGGTAAAGAAAGGGGGATTCCAGATAGATGAAGCCATTTTTTGAGGGCACAGAAAAAGCCTAAGGTTTACAAGAACTGTAAACTGTCCAGTGTAACTAGAATACAAGTAGTGATTTTTGATAGATGAGGCTAGGAAAGCAATCTTTATTGCTGAAGATGAAAGGTTATGAACTACAGGCTATCTGTGGTCTACAGAGAGGTTTGGTTTGCCTCTATCCTATTTAGTTTTTAGTTACTGACATTTAAAAATAGGATATTTCTTATACAAGTCAAGAATTCCCCTTACTCTTAAAAAAACAGGAAGATCTGACAACACTGGGGCCACATTTTTACATGCGAACAATGATTTGGAACTGAGTAGTAACTGTCCTCTTTGGCCAAGCATTCATTCTCTAGCTTATCAGTCTCCTACTCCCAGTTACATCAAACCAAAGACTATTTCACAAGTAGTCAGTATATAACATTATTGTTAAGAATGAATTTAGGCTATGAAGCCAAATTGTCTAGATTTAAATTCTGACTCTTCAGATCTCAAGCAGGTTAGTAATATACACTTGCTTTATTTCCTATTCTATTTAATGGAGACAATAATCTCATCTACCTTAAAGAGATTAAGTGAAATAAGGTTTATACCTAAATGCTTAAAACAGTGATTAGCAATGGCAATCAGTAAATATCTGGTTTATTTATTCATTTTTTTATTTTTAGAGAGAGAGTACGAGCTGGGAGAGGTGCAGAGGGAGAGAGGGAGACATCTTAAGCAGGTTCTACGCTCAGTGCGGAACCCAATGCAGGGCTGGATCCCAGGACCCTGCGATCATGACCTAAGCCAAAACCAAGAGTCGGATGCTCAACCAACTGAGCTACCCAGCTGCCCCAATATATTACTATTTGTTACTTGTTTGATATCTACAGGCATACAGACTGGGTAATAAGCCACTGAAACACTTTAAGCATGAGAATGATAATATCAGATTTGCATTTTAAAATGTTCACTGCTGCTTCTTTAGAAGAAAAGGATTGAAACAAGCCAAGACTAGAGGCAAGACAACCTATTAACAGACAGCAAAAGTACCATACCTGAGAAATTCGATGACCTGAACTACAGAAGAATGATGATGATGGAGAGAATGAGTTAAATTAGAGAAGTATTTAGATGACAAAAATGATAGGACTTAGTAGCCTTTTGGAGGTAGAGAATGATGGTGTCTTTCATTGTATAACAAAGAGTAGAAAGTAGCAGCACTGACTAAAATGGAACGACTGAAATAGAGGAAAAGAGTTAGTCTTGATGAGTAGAAAATGAATTAAGGAATTCACCAAGGAATTGTCGACTGCAGCTAGAGATTTGGGAATCATGAGAGAACAGGTGAACTGACACTATGGGAAAGAAGACAAAATTGAGAAAGGGACAGGAACTAAGAGACAACTCCAAAAATGGTGAGAAGAGCAGGTGAATAAAAAGGAGCCATGAAAACGAGTGAAAAAGAGATAGGAAGAGAACCAGAAGAGGATGGTATCATCAAAGTCAAGGAAAGACTATTTCATGACTTAACTGAATGTTTCAATAGAATGATGAAAATTAATAGAATTTGTCTACTAAGCACAACAAAATGAGGAAGTCATTTAATATTGCTCAGAAATATCACTCATATATGACTTACTCCCATCATAAACGACACAAATTTTTTGTTTGTTTAAAAAGAAGTGGGAGGCCTTGGTGGTTCAGTTGCTTAAGTGTCCAACTCTTAATTTCAACTCAGGTTATGATCTCACAGTTCATGAGATGGAGCCCTGCATCAGGGCTGTCAGCACAGAGCCTGTTTGGGATTCTCTCTCTCCCTCTCACTGCCCTTCCCCTGTGTGTGCATGTGCACGCGCTCTCTCTCTCTCAAAATAAACACTCAAAAAAAAAAGAAGAAGAAGAAGTCATATATTTTAAGGAAATAAGTGCCAGTATAAGAGTAATCATAGCTTTTCCTTGTAGCAATGTACTAATTCCTAGTTTTAGTCATTTTATCTGCCTTGGTGATCATCATTTTTCAAGTATTTCAAATGGCAGTTTAAAGTTACAGCTTTTGCTTAAGTTCTCACATTCACTAACATATGTAACAAATATTTACTAAATGATTGCCACGTTAAGTCAGTGTTTCTCAGGGACTTGGAAGAAAACAAGGAATCACTCATATAACATGTACATTAGGTTTCCAGGTTGTTATCTTCTAAGGCTGCAACAGAGAACAAAGCCCTTCAAACCAATTATCAACATTTTAAAAGGAGAGGGAAATTGGATATCTACTCTCAGTCAATGTGCTTTTAAAACAACCAAAACCAAAAGCCCACCATCAAACCACCTGAATGTGAACAAAGGAAGACCAATACTTAACTTGAAATGCATTTAGAAGCAAACAGACC